ATCAACAGCGACAGCTGTATATACCAGCAGGTTTCAAGCTAGAGATCACAAAATTACGATATACTTTGGCACATGGGCACCACCACGTTCGTCGCTTGTGCTCAGCAGCAAGCGTCCCATCACTGACCTCATCAGCAGCTACTCCCACCCGCCCTCGCCGTCCCATCAAACACAGAGTCACAGACACGATTCGAAATTGGTACTCTTACAAGTTGCGGTATCCCAGACGACGAAGACGACCCATAACGGGCCAACCTCTGTCCTCCGCGTTCTCGCCATGTCCAAGCGAATGCGAAAAGACTTACTTATCGAGCACTCCAAAACGTAATGCACGATCACTTCGTTCCTGCTATCAAGGCGTCGGTAACTGTGGCGTCGTACTGCTCGCCTTCTCTCCATTTTGTCGTGCAACACGACACACGGGACGGGATAGAGCGGAGAAAACAGATAAAATAACAACGCCACGAAACCCGTTCCTAGTGAGTTTCTCCCCCTTTGGTTCCTTTCACAGTTCTTAGCCTTTCTGATCACTTGTCAACGCTCCTCTTCTCGACACAGTTTTCCTAATCGAATACAAAAGGGAGCTGCGACTTTAATTGAAACCCACCTTTTATGCATAGCGGACGTGCACAAGCTCCGCTTGGCTTTGGCGAGGTACAAGGCACCCGCCAGTAATATTACTGGATCAGTTTCGACACCCCTTCTTCTTCCAAATGTCAAACGATAACGCTCGACCTTTGGGCGTTCAGAATGTGAAAGTGGTCAAGACATGAGCCCGATACATCAGGCCTTAATACCTAAACCGTACTCTCTCTCTCGGAGCGCTCAGACCTTTTGACGCTCAATAATCAGAGCTGTCCGGCACCATCAGCACCGAGCGCCCAGTCCCTTCGACCCGCTTACCCTTCCTCATATCATAAACATAATAATAGTTTTTCACGAAACAAGTCGCGCAAACAATGGGAAGCATTGGTGAGAAAGTCTCAAGGCGCGCCTCTTCGCTCGCGCATACCTCCCTCTACACCCCTGCACGAATTATTCCGACCTATCTTCCGCAAGAGGGATCTCTGCACGACCATTATTCCTCTTTTACTACGCGATGGACGCACGTTTTCAATACGTGATCACGAGTGCAGCATGAAAGATCATTATTAGATGTGTGATCTCTCTTGCGCCGGAGATACAGTATCACAAAAGGAAAGCTCGGGTGCAGAACGGAAAAGCAGAAAGGAAGAACCAACCGGGAGGATACACGAGTCGATCTCACCGGTCTTGATCGGGTCCCAGAGCCTCTAGTGGGTTCCGTTTACGTCTGTGGCGCTATGGGCCCCAACACCAGACAAAAAAAAGTGGAGACAATAATAGCTGGAGCTGGAAGTTGGGGTATACGGGGTATACCCCATACACCCGCGTCTCACTGTTCTGACGGGATAACGTCATGTTCTATACCCGCCGGCACCTACTGCCGAGTGCAATAAACCCAAAACCCATAACCCTCCAAATTGCACCGGCCCAGCGATACCGTGGGGGGTTCACTCCTACCCTTACTACCTCCCACTATTACCCCGTTCACCAACCTCCTATAGGCACATGAGAAACTCACCATTGACTCAACCCCCTTGAGAGGAGGAAGGAGGGTACAGCAATCGACGCGTACTTTCTCCTCTTGGCTAAATGAAGGCACGAACGCGATCAGAAGAAGGTAGGTGAGGGAGCGAGCGAACCTTGTTTGGAAGGGGAACAGGCTCTGGCCCCCTCAGGGGTGAAGGGAGGAGGAGGCGAGACAAAGATAAGATTCATGCTCGTATTGTCTGGCGTGGATGTCCACTTGGCCCGGACATTGGCGGGGTAACCTCTTTCAAAATCCTCTTACTGATCGCCTCTCTATCCCCCAGCTCAGTTTGTTATCTGAATACTGCCCTCCTCCTCTCGGTATCTGTAGCTGTGTCTGTGTGTCCAAGTGATTCGCTCCGAGGAACGGACAAGTATGTACATGCGGACACGTGAGTGCGCGTGAGTACTTGGATTCGTGCGTTCAGATCTCTGCTAATATTGCAACTGTTGCTACTATAGGCGCTGCAGATAGGGACACGTTGGGCCTCGTATCACGGGTTTTGGTTGGTTGGGAAACCCACAAGCAGGGACGCACGACTCGCCATCCATCCCTCTAATTCTCTCTCCTTTCTATCTCTCTTTCGGAATAAGGCTTGCGCCTGCAGAGTGAATAAGGTCAGGCCAAGATCTAGAGAGGATGGACAGATTTCTTGGCCTCGTGATCTAATAGATCTTTTTTTAGTGGTCGGATCACGTTACTGCTCCTTGGTAGCAAGAAGCGACACAGTATATGGCGGATGGGTGGGAATGTAGTGAAAATATCGTGGTGCAGATGTTCACCTGAAGTCGGGACGGCCATTCCTACCCCAATCCCATCCATGACAAAGGGTAGCATCGACGTAGGTCCCATAACTCCAGATGTCACTTGGCTGAATTACACAATAAATTAGTATAAGAGCTCTGCAGACTACATGCATATCTTCTATATTTTAACAAGGGAGGAAGTGTGCTGACTCTCTTACCAAAGCCCATC